AAGCCCTAGTCGAAACCTGGAACACCGATCTTACTAGGGCTATCAACACGATCACTCCCAAACATCCTTTCCAACCCACCCTAAACTGTCAATCTTGGTTCACAGAAGAACTCAAGAAGATGAAGTGGGTTGGGCAATGACTAGAGCGCACCTTGAGGAAAACTCGACTTCTATCTGACAAGACTTGCCATAGGAATTTTCTTTGTTCCTATAGAGAGGTAATACTTGCAATGCAGAAATCTTTCTCTTCTGCACGTATTGCATCTGCCTGCTGTGATGCTTTTAACAACTATTTTGCAGATAAAATCTCTCACATAGGTGCCGACTTAGACACCAGGATTATAGCAAAATAGACTGATGAGGTGTCCAGTAAACCTGTTTTAGAGATTAAACTGGATCGGTTTGAGTCAGTGAGTACTGATGACATGGACAAGATCCTTGGAAAAGTGAAGAAGATGACGTGCCCCCTCGATCCCTGCCCATCATGGCTGGTCATCCAGGGGGACGATGTCTTGATGACCTTTCTTAAAGGGGTCATCAATGCATCGCTCAGGGAAGGATCTATTCCAACATGCTTAAAGGAAACGATCGTTAGACAGCTCCTGAAGAAACCTTCCCTGGATCCCTTGGTTTTGACAAACTACATACTAGTATCCCACCTGCCATTTTTGAGCAAGATGATTGAGTAGGCCGTCACCTTTCAACTCCAAGCGATCTTGGATGATACCGATTTTCTAGATCCATTTCAAACTGGCTTCAGACCTGGATATGGGGTGGAGACTGCCACTGTTGCTCTGGTAGATGACCTACACCCAAGCATTGACCGGAAAAGCATGACCCAGTTAGTGCTTTTGGATCTCTCAGCGGCTTTTGACATGATAAACCATGACATCCTCTTGGAACACCTGGGAGAGTGAGGAATTGGAGGCACTGTAATTCGGTGGTTCCGTTCCTTCCTCTCAGGCAGGTTCCAGAGGGTAATGCTTGGGGACAGCTGCTCTTCAAAAACAGAGTTTAAATGTGGCATCCCTCAGGGTGCCATCCTATTCTCAATGCTATTTAACATCTATATGAAGCCGCTGGGGAAAATCATCCGGAGACATGGGACAGGGTGTTATCATATGCCGATGGCACCCAAATATATTTCTCCATGTCTCAGTCAGCAGCCATGAAGACGGATGGCATTTCTTGAGACAGTAATGGATTGGATGAGGAAAAATCGACTCAAGCTGAATCCAGACAAAACGGAGGTACTTACAGTAGGGGCCTCTAAACCAGGTATTGGTTTACAATCCCCAGTCCTGAATGGGGTCACGCTCTCCACCAAGGACTGTGTTCGCAATCTGGGGGTACTCCTAGACTCGTCGCTTCACATGGTAGATCAGGTGAATGCAGTCAGGAACGCCTGTTATCAGCTTCAGCTGATAAGCCAGTGCGCCCTTACCTGGAAGTAAGGGACCTAGAAACTGTAGTACATGCACTGATAACCTCATGATTTGATTTCTGCAATGCACTCTACATGGGGCTACCCTTATACCTAACTCAGAAACTACAACTATGGCAGCCAGGCTGATCACCGGTAAATCCAAGAGTGTTCATATCACACCTGTGCTCAAATCTCTGCACTGGCTGCCGATTGGTTTCCGAGCACAGTAT